GCCCCCTCGTATCATCGATCTATAATTCGAACCAACTTTAATTGCGGCACGCCGATCGGATTCCATCCTTTGCGATTCTCGATCCACTCGCATTGCAACGCGGACATGTAACACGTCAACATGTTTGCGGGGGGATCTTATCAGTGCGCGTATCAATCTGTAGTCTAAACAGGCAGGCACGACGATTCGCGCCAACTGTTACGTTTCCACGGACGATCGATCGAAAACGGGACGAGATACGAAAATGAAGAGATTTATACGCGGAAAAGTCGCGCGATGTTCTTCACTCTCGGCACATCCGGGTACCCGGATCTGGTTCGCGACAACGGAGAGGCCTTCGACGGGTCCGGTCGCGGCCCCCGATCGTTTATTACTCAGCCAATCGAAAGGGAATAGGATACCGTACGATCGCGGCCTCTTGCTTTTCCTTTTCTTTTGCGGCACGTTTCGAATTCCGACAGTGAAAGGACACGGCCCGGTAATTGGCCCGGTGATTGGCCCGGAGCACGGAGGCACGACTCTCTCGACGGAGGTCGGCGAATGTCGCTTACCACGCGGGTTTTCACGTTTGCATGCGAGACAGGGCGCGTCGCGCACTTTATACTACCCATTTCCCTATCGCGTAGACACAAAAAATCATTCCATAAATTATATCTGTCTTCTAGACGATAGAAGCAGCAGGGTTGTCAATAGAAAAGCGATTACTCATCGTATTATGTATTGTAATTTAAAATCAAATCCTGTTAAGTGCGTGTAATTCTATATATAGCGTACTTTTTTTCTTTTTAATTATTTTTGTTAAATACTGTCAGAGGAGGAGATGAGGTCAGAGTTCAATTAGATTGTTGCGCAAAAATGAGGATGAATGGTAGAATTAATCAAATATAATAGAAAAGAGCATTTAGAGCCAAGCGCGGTACGTGGTGCGCAAACTGTTTATTATTAGTGATAAATTAATACTAATATAAATTTCGAACGTTTCGACCCTTTATTTGGGTCATCTTCAGCGCAAAGTTAGACTAACAAACATAAATTTAACGTCGCATGGTTATAAAATTCGTCATACAAAGTCATACATTGAATTAAAATTAAAAACTAAAAATATAGAATTAATGTTTAATTCGGCGTTGAAATCAGTTACGTCAAAGCGGTAGCGGAGAAACGCGTTGCACTCGTTAAATGTAAACTTTCCTCTTCGTGTCGTCTATATCAAAGGCGTTATCTGTGTTGATATAATACAGCTTACAGAATTATTTCGTCATCTAATAAAATTAGATCGGCATGAGGGGTGAAGTGGATCGGTCAATAAACGGCACCGCGTGTACGCTGTAATCTGTTAGGAGAAGATAATGCACTTTGCATGAGCGAAATTCGCGAGCCTATAATATTATAAATGACTGAAATAATTTAAACGAGCGACAGAAAAAGAGAGAGAAAGAGAGAGACAATACGCAGTGCGTATCGCTTCCTTTCTTCGAAATTCTCATTCATAAGGTACGGTTGAATCCGCTAATTAGATCTAATTGGAGGAACAAAGCGTATAGAACTTATAATGAATCGTACCTACGTTAATGGGACCCTTAATGATCAACGCAATTCTGAGAGAATGACTGTTCATTTTATCGGGCGCAATAGCGGCTTCTTTTATGTAATATTCACACTTATCGTTGCTCGTTAAACTTTCGCCTCCACGTATTTTAGCTCCAACACTTACGCTTTATCTAGTTTAATTTATAATTTCCGAATGAGATAATGTTTCTTTTTTTTTTATACTGCCGCAAATAATTTCTTTGACAAATATTGAAATAGAAACACATGTTTCACCACAAATAAGCTGCGTAATACATGCATATAATAACTTTCCAATTATAGAAAGAATTGTAGAAACCATACAAAAAATAAGCCTTTTAAAAACATTAATACAAGTGTAACATAAGAAAGGAAGTCATACAGAATATGCATAAGTAACGAAAAAGCATTTAACCCGCGACTGTCATTTTCTTACTCAAGCAATAGTTTCGAAAATTAATGAAACGCAGAGATAAAAGGATTATATTGACAAATATCTCGAAATAAAAAAGCGATAGTGTCGACATTTCAGTGGATGCTTCAAGAATCGTTAAATCCGAACAGACATATATCAAGTGGCGATCGGAGCTGTAAAGTTAGCCGAGTGAAAGGCGAAGTAAAGGTCATGATCAATTTCTCGCAGTAAAAAGAGGAAAAATACATTAAAATGCAAAATATTTACAAATTATAAAGTGACGAATATAATAAAATATTCAACGAATTAACATCCGTTTATTCCGAATGTACCGATTCGCCTCGAGTATTATCTACCGCAGAAGAAAGGTCTGCTATCCTGTCAAACGAGAAACTCGAGAGAACGAAACTGAAATCGACGGACGTCACGACGGACGTCACCGTAGGACGGTCCTTGAACCGCGCGAGAAGGTTTATGGGAACCTTGAACCTGCGACTCGCACACATACAGTTGCAAACAGACATCTCATCCCCGCAATCTCCGGACACACCATCACAAATAAACGCGGAGCCGCTCGTCTATCGCAAATGGAAGAAATATTTGCGATAGATCGATTGCATAAACATCGTCGGATTTTGTGATATATCGTTACTTTATTTTTTAGACGTTAAATCTCTTCGACTTGTTTAATCGTAAATCAATCTCTCGTCATTATCAAAATAAATTAGTCATACTTTGAGCACATAGATTACTTATCTAAACGTCGATATCAAAATACGATTTGTGTCATTCCTACAATAAACGTCGCGTAAAAAATATATTCAAATTCATATTTGCTTTAATACCTGTTACTTTGAATTTTACGATCTTTATGGTGTGTAATATCATGAGACTCGAATTTGCCGGGTATAAGCCATCGTATAATATATATATATATATATACAGGGTGCGGCATTTATAGTAAGCGACAATGTTTTAAGCAAATTAGCTTTTAATTAAACAGTTTGGGAAACACAATTACTGTGCACAAGGTACGGTGCCGGGTGGCTAATGATCAGTTATGCAAATCCAAGAGCACTAATGATCACGCCGACGAAAATTGCAAATGCTCGAGCGCGGCTTGTCAGTCAGATGGTTGGTTAGCTAACACAATAGTTAATTCGCGACAATAAAGATATTTCACAGACAATCGAGGTGTTTACTATAAGTGAATATCGACGATCTTTTCAAACATTAAGACGAAAAATAATTTTAAAGCATATTCATTATATCTCGGATCGAATTAAGATAATCATTTAAAAATGATAATAAATGAGATTTGAAGATATATTTCGCGCACTTTCTCGATTGACCAATCTGCGATAGAGACCGGTTCTGAGCTCGCAGGTGCGACAGATTTTGCATGATTTTAACAGACGAGCATGTTTTTAACGCAACATGTAAACTTTATCATCTTTACATCAGAATTTTTGCGGAATTTTTGAATACTTTCACATGTCGAAATTTGTTTTATCAGACTCCACGTCTTAATAACAGTTAGCGCGATTATTCCTTTATTATTCCATTTATATTATCATGTCTAAAATTTATGTACAATGTATTTTTAAATCTTCATTTCACTCCCGCAACTTTAGCCGAGTATGCAACATAGTAAAAATTTCAATCAGCTGACATCTGTCAGTTAACGCTGCGCGTGACAAAACAATCGATATTAGGTACTTAATCAATATAGTATGGGATCCTTGTTTCAAGGAAGACATAAAAGAGATAAATTACAGTCAAAGATGGATATCAATGTCCGTCCTACAGGACCCTGGGCTATTAGAACGCATCGAAAGATTATGCCTGTACAATGACTGGATCCTGAAGAACCAGGATCGTCGAGAACAGAGTCAACAGTTGCAAATAATCCTCTGGTATGAATATGCATATAACTAGCGCGATTTCCATAGAAGCTATTTCCATATAAATAAACGGACTTTGTATGTACGTACAGTTTTTAACGACACATTATTCCGATTCTTAAGCGGAAAAACAAAGTTCAGATCCATTCATTATCGTAGTATTTTGCAAGTCAACGACGTTTAGACATGCTTGACAGGGTCAAAACGCGGGTTGCGGATGTGCGTAGGTATTTGTCGAGATTTAGGAGAAAAAATATGTGACATTAGCGTCGAAATTGTTGCTCGTAAACAAGGCTTTCCCTCAAATGGAAATTTCATATTTAAGAACATAGATTATATTCGTATTTAAAATTGCTTTAAATATTTTTCGTCGATAAATAAAACGCCGATTAATGTTACATTAAAACCATATTAAACATTTTTCCTCGAAAGTCAAGATAACACGAAATAAACATGTGTACGTCAGCACGTTAGCTCCTTCAAGAATGTCTAAATGCTGATGACTTGCACAGAAACAAGAAACGTCATAACACGTTGATTAGTAGTAATATAATAATAACAGTCGAATCTCTCTCCAATGATTTATAGTTACTTGCTATTCATAGAACGTGGAATTTAAATCTCGTTTTGGATCATTCATCTGTCAGTCTACATCTTCTGTTCAAGTTCTCAAGATCCTTTTTACGTATCGTTCTTACTCTGCGAAACCAATCAAGGCCGAATCTCGCGTCTTGGCGTGTTCGCCATCTAATTACACGAATGCCTCGGTAATTTTTGGCGCACAGCCTGAGACGATCGAAGATCGTTGCATCAGAATTAACACATTCGCGATCAAGGCCTAAGGAGTCCTGACAAAGGAGCGCTCCCGAAGACGGTATCCGAGGAGGCTGACGTGAACGAGGTAAGATAAAACAAGGACGCTATTCTTCCTTTACTCACACTTCCAGGATACGATCGCCCTTGCGGACGCCGGCCTTCTCGGCGGCGCCTCGCGGCAGAACCGCGCTGACGTGCTGCAGCGGCGCGTACAGCTCGCCATTGATGCTCCGCAGCTGTCCACCCTCGCTGACCTGGCCGCGTACGTTGAACCCGAAGCCCGTCTCCGTCTTGTAGATGGTCACGCATCTCGGCCCCTGGCCGACCGGGTCCTGACGGTCCTGGCCCGGCGGATGCTGCGGCACCCGCGCCGCGTTGTTGTTCACCATTGTCACGGTCGTCGTGTTCCTCGCACTGCCGTCCTGATTCGTGGCTGCCAAGCGGTGCACCTCCGACTCGCAATCCGCCATCTTGCACTCTGGCCGCCCATTCACGGCTAATGCTACGCGTTGCTCTAGGGATGAATCCTCGAAGCGGCTACTCTCGTATCGAGGCGTACGTATCTCGATATCGAACATTGTTGGAGCGAGGCACTAACGATATATCGATATGTCCAACTATCGATACCAGGATTTTGATACGTGCCGTAAGATGAAAAATAAGGGAAGCAAATTTCATTGACAGAAATGATGTACCCCTTAATAGTATGTTCAAATCGAAATCTAACTTATTTTTGGAATAATTTTCGTTTGTGTGAATCTGTCTCACGTCAGTGATGAATTTTCTAAACCTGTCAAAATTTTTCAGGATTCTGAGAGAAATTATTTCGATTCTGTAGAGAAGATAAAAAAAAAATCATAATTTTTTATTAAAATCTCTCAATTTTCTTTAATAAATAAAAAAATGTCTCACATTCATCGACGATATCATACGAGGCTAAAAGGCGTGGATATAGGTGTCGTCTCGTACATAGAATCACTATAAAACGTTATCTTGCCGCCTTTCATCTTTTGCGGTCATTGATCTTTGCCGCCTCTGTCGGTAGCGCAGCTGAAGCCGACAGATGGTCGGCCTGCTGTGAAAATATCTACTGGCAATTCTGGTGGTTACCAAGAACGTGCTGCCATCAACTATTCGAGTCTTCAATCCAACTGTGAATTATTCGTCAAACGCGAGTACAATGCGAGATTTAATTAATTTTTTATCATTTTTGTTAGGTATCTGTTTAAATAATAGAAACACGTGACGACAATAAGATATTAACGAGATAGTAACGAGTGTCGTTCTCTTCTTCGTCTCTTCAGAGCAAGATAGACGTATCGTTAGAAATGTTTATATAATCCCGCTGTTTTTTTTTTTTTTTAATTGATGCTAAAACAATTTTTATTTGTAACAAGTTATTTTGTTCCGCTTTTGTTTTGTCAAAGCATCACTCCATTATTTTTTAAAGCCTGATATATATTCCGGTAAAATTATATTACTTACAAAGTAAAACAAATTTTATTTTTTAAAAAGATGTGAAAATCAATTTTTGTATTATACATTGATCACATACATAATTATCTCAAAAATATTTATTTATAAAATAAATAATAAACGATTTCACCATTTAATAAAATAATCTAAACATTTGTCGCGTAAATTCCATAAAATAATGCAAACCTTACAAGCAATAGCAAGTGGTTTACTTTAATTTCGATCGTACACGTACATCTGCGACATTTAATTCCCATCACGCAACGTGTATTCTCATACGTTATATAAAAGTAAAGGATTTAATCTCCGTGTTTCTCTACATATTACTTTTTTTTTATTCACTGTTGTTCGTATGTAATTACCTTGCATGAAAACACATTATGAAATTATACAGGAGATTTCGCGTATATTTCGCGCGCGCTTCGCGTTTTAAAAATGACCACATCTTCATTCCTTGCGATACGTAACATATTTATACTACTTGTGTATGTTCAAAAATTTTGAAAAGAAATAGAAGAAAGAGATGGAGGAAAAAATGGTTTCTCTCTCAATGTTTTTGATATATTTCCTGCGACAGTTCTACATATAAAACTAATAGTCGCCGCATTTTTCTTACATTGTAACTAACATATTCCCAGTATTAAGACATTTCATCCCTGCTTTTCCCTTGTACCCCTTTATTTTACATTTTACCACAAATTTACGGTACATTCCATGTTAATCGTCGACGATGTGTTACGTCTACGGTTAATATCAATTACTAATTAAGGGGCACGAACTATCTTTATTATACTGCTTCAGTGTCGCAGCATCAGCGAAGTCAAGCGGAAAGATAAGTTATATCGCTCGAGGTCTCTACAAACTGTAACAGCCAAAGTAACATTACCAACATCATGATATTATACATCATTTTAAGAGAGATTATTACGTAGCATGTATGTGTGTCTGCAACGGAAGTGGCATTGCATCAAGTGCAGAGGTGACATGAAAATTTGCTCGCATTTTTTCTTTTACGTATACGTGAAGCACGGTTACAAAGTAAAAAAGGTCGACGCGTTCTATCATTCGTGTACATTATAAATATAATGCACATTATGCACGTGTACATTACGCATATAATTGTTGCATAGCATTAGAAAGTTTTATCTATCTCGACGCAAAATTACAATAAAGAGATTTAATCAAGCCGCGTTTATTTTGCACCAAAGTATTTTTAATTTACCAACTTTCAGAGAGAGAGAGAGAAAGAGAGACGTGGTATAAAAATATTTTCTCATACGCGAAAAAAACTTTCTATTCTCTGTATAAAATAAATATATTCGAGTAAATATCCGATCCCCTTTTTTTCTCTCCGCTTCGCTATACTTGTCATTTTCCATTTGCAAGACCGTAGACTGTCAAATTTCGACGAGAATGTTCGGACAAACTGGAAAAACAGTGAGTGAGAGATAGCGATAGAAGTGAGAGAGAGGAAAAGAGAAAGAGAATAGAGAGGGGCTGGCAGGAAGGGGTTGCGTATTCGCGTAGAGGGAACCGACCGTGGCCTTTCACCTGCAGGAAATCCTATGATTGATGCCACATGGCACAATGTTACTGCTGCATTATATGCACGCGCACACATTGTATGCACTCCCCGATAACTACGGCGCGAATGCATACTGCAATAACTCGATATGTAAACCGATGTACGCGCGTTGCAATGCGTCGTGATGAAGGGGTTAACACTAAATGCGTTTACGACACACTTCGTCAACACACGGACACTGCATAAACGTAATAACTGCACATCCTAGCGGAAGAATATATAATTGACCGAAGAAAGCATTTTCATGTCTTTTTCTTTCCTTATTATTTTATGGCATCATATTTTTATTTATTTATTTATTTTTTTCTTTTGAGCAAACTTATTCGGGCGCAAAGTTTTTCGGTGGTAGGTTCTCCAAAAATAAGCGCATTCTTGTGTGCGGGTGTATGCGTGTCTTTCTTAATTAAAAAAATTTAAATTATATTTCAACAGATATTTCAATAAATAAATTTTCTCAGCTACTTGTTATCGCTTGTGCTACGAACTTTATGATTGCAGTGATGAAAGTAACGAAGAATTTCTTAATTAAAACAAATAATTTATTCGGGCGCAAATATGTTATGATAATTTATATCCTTCAAGCGCGCGGCAGAATGTTAAACTTTAATTGTGTGTTTTTCTTGGATACAACATCAAAAAATATATATTAATTGGCCACAGAAAAAAAATACAGATTTAATTAAACACTTCACCCTCTTCAGCATCTTTAAACTGTCTTTAAATCGTAAATCGCGGCTACGAGGAAATTTCTGCGTCAGAAACACTCGAAGCGGAGATTGATTATAATCCAGTGTTTTAAGTAAATTCCGATCAAAGTTGTAGTCTCGCGACAAATTGAAGACAGCACCATTACATCCCTCATAGATAATTCTCGAGGAGCCGAGTGTCGATATCGCACGGTTAATGACACACGCACGTTTGACATATCGGGCCGACTCCGATCTGAGTCAGCTGGTCACTTTTACGATGCAACGAGAACGAGCGCGAGTCTCTCGACCGAAGGCGCGGGCGCGCCGAATTTCAAAGCATCTCGACGTCTCCTTGCCTCACTCTCGCACACGTCCAGCTGCATCCGGAGCATCCGCCCACAGGCGCACACGTGACGCGCGGATGTATCCGCGCGACGACGCGGCGCGTCGCGACACCGCGCGTCGCCACTGCTGCAGAACGGCCGTATAACGTAGAGAAAGTCAGTCCTAACGTTGGCGCTGCAACAGACGTATAGAACGCGCCTTCTTGTAAAAGCCGCCCTCACTTTTCCCACCCTCCTCCGGTACCATCTGCGACATATTCAGATTATTAATCGCTCGAGGAATCTATACGAGAAAGAGAAAAAAAAAATATAGAAAAATCAGCGCGGTTACCCCGTGCCCCGTATCATTCTCGCGAGGGACAAGTAAATATTTTAAAAGACGAGGAAGAAAGAGATTTGTTTAAACAGAGTGAGATTGATCCATTTCGATCGAGTGAAGTAACCAGAGGGGGTTACACCGGAGTGATCGACGACGAAGGAAGCGGGTCGGTGCACGCGGTGTCTTTTTTTTTTCGTTTTTCGCGCGGGCCATCGTCTGTCCCGGTCCCGCCCTTACCGGGTGGCTCCATCAGCCCGATCTCCCGCCAGGACCCGAGGAGACGTTCCAAAGTGGCCGGGTGACGGCCTTTTTCCCTGCTTGTCGCGGGCGCATCGTATATCCTCCTCGCAGACGTCCCGATCGCCAGCATGCTTTCGCCCTCGAGGGTTTTCCCGCCGATTCTCGCCGTGGCGCTCGTCGTCTGCATCGGTGAGTGTGTTACGTCAGAATCGAGTTACTTTCATTTGAATAAGTGTAATATGCGGTGAAGAAATCGAGAAATAGAGGAAAATGCATAGCTTTTTCTATTTATCGCGCGAGGAGGCTCTATTAATATAGAGCCGTGAGTGACAGTTGCGTGTCCGCGGTATTCGGGTGGGACGAAGCTTGATCCGAAACTGCGTGATGTGGATCCCTTCAGAAGGGAAAGCGTGAAGTATGTGCAATCTAATATTTGAACAAATCAAATGCCATGAAGAATTTCAATTCTACATACGGATCTCCGATTAAAATGTTTGCGTGAAGGTATTAATAGTTTTGTGGCGATGAAAAAAAAAAAACGAAAAGATTCTCAGAAATGAAGTCTTGACTTTTCAATTCTTTGTTACAAAAAAAAATTATTCGGGATAAAATTAAAAAATAAATTACTGCAAATATATTAATAACTATTCCGTTGTAGTAACGAAAAGCAAGATCGATCACATTTCGCAGAATCATCAAGATTGCTCAATTAGCAAGTAATTAGCGCGATTCTACGTATTGCTCATATTTCGTTTGCCAGAAATCATTGCGCTTTAATCATTTGACGCGGGAGTTTGTTCCATATTTAATTATTTGCTGTTGAGTAAAACTGTTGCCAAGTTTTTTTTTTTTTTTTTTTTTTTTTTTTTTTCTTTTTTTTTTTTTTTTTTTTTTTTTTTTTTTTTTTCCCGGCGGG